GGTATTGCGGCACTTTGTTTTTTCATACTGTAACAGTGAACAGATGTGCTCTTAGCCAAGTCCCTAATGTATTTGTGTACTTTTTTTCTTAGTAGTAGAAACTTAACCGAGCCTGATATGTACTTGTTACTTTTGTACAGACTATGGAAACTCTTGTTGCACCTATTCCAGCTTTACATCACAAGCTCGACAATTCAACTCAGAGCATCAAACGACCTGCACCCTCAACTGGAGGATGTAGAGTTGAGGGATATGTGCGTGTTAAAAAGGTACCCTTTCTTGCAGAAGTATCATAATGCAGTTCTCTTTAACTGTCTAACTTGTGGTGTATTTATGGAGATACAGAAATTCATCATACCACTTGTTTATTGATACACTCTGAGATGTATCTTTTTGCAGGTTCCTGGGAACCTCATCATTTCAGCTCGTTCAGGATCCCATTCTTTTGATACTTCTCTAATGAACATGTCACACGTTGTCTCCCATCTCTCGTTTGGCTTGAAATTTGCACCCAAGGCGCTGGTTGACGCCAAGCGATTGATGCCATATATTGGTCGAAGTCATGACCGGCTGAATGGGCGGGCATTTGTTAATCAGCGCGACGTAGGTGCTAATGTCACTGTAAGTTAGCTTGCTCGCAACTCTTATGAGATTGATCCTTCACTGCATATCTCAGTTTCTCTGTTGTATTTCCGTGCTATATCAGTCACAAGAACTCTTCCTGTGGAAGAGTGTATGCCTTTCGTTGCCTGCAAGCAAATTAGATAGTGTCTCTTCGCATGCAGAAGCTGTCGCTCATATAACTTCACAATAATCAGTCATGGCAAATACTCTCCTGTTGATTCCATGTGTCATAACTCATAACCATTGGTATTTTTGTTTTCTTTTGCAATTTTCAGATAGAGCATTATCTCCAAGTCGTTAAAACAGAGGTGGTATCAAGAAGAGGATCTCGTGATCACACGATAATAGAAGAGTATGAGTATACAGCCCACAGCAGTTTGGCGGAGAGCGTGGATATACCTGTTGCGAAATTCCATTTTGAGCTCTCCCCTATGCAGGTATGGTGACAAACCTACTGTCTTGAACTTGTGGGGAAAAAGAAATCAGACCATCCCACCATATAGTTCTTAATTGTTTCCTATTTCAAATTTCAATTAAAAAAAAAAAAAGAAGGAATGGCTGGATCCTTCTTATAGGTCCAGAAATGTTCATCGGTTTGACTCTTGACCCATCCCTTTTGCCATCAGGTTCTGATCACTGAACTTCCGAAGTCATTTTCACATTTTATCACCAATGTGTGCGCCATAATCGGTGGGATATTCACGGTTGGTGCTCGTGCATCTCTTGGTTCAGTTCTTTCCTAGTCTTACTCACGTTACAAGATCTCCAATCTTAAATGCAAACCCTCTTGATTTCAGGTCGCTGGAATATTGGATTCGTTACTGCACAACACAATCAGGCTAGTGAAGAAAGTGGAGCTAGGCAAGAATTTTTGATAGAGAGGAAGAGATGACATGAAACATTATGTTAGTTTTCATGTAAAGATTTCAAAGTTTTGAATCACAGGGTTTATTAAATTAGCATTAGCAAGCAAGAACAGGATAGAACAGTTGTTTATGGGACACTTCCATAATATACACCATGAAGCACGTTCAGTGCCTATCCTCTCTGTGCCGCGCCCTTATCGTGCTCTGGTTTAGTTACAATGCTTGTGATCATCATCCATTTCTGCATTGGTGTTTGGAGTAATGACCGGAAAATAGATGGTCGAAGAATCTTTTGATTCTTTGTTAACTCATCAGCTTTGCCAATGGAAGTCCTCTGTAATACGTTTTCCGATTTTCGAAGTCGGAAACACGAAGCCTATGGATTGTGACTGCCGATTTCAGACTTGAGACCGAGATCTTCTCGCTGGAGCCTTGTTAAGGAAGAAACGTCGTTGAAATGCAGAAGGTATGTTTTAGAACACTCTTCTCTTTCAGTTATTTTTCCTTTTCTTTACAAACATGCTCTTGAAATACACACCAGTTTGGTTCATAACCTTATTGCCATCTCCACGACAAACAAATACTGAAACACCAAACAATGAAAAACATCTCTGATACAAGAAGGATAACAAAAGTGTGGGTAGAAAACGAAACAAGAATTTATGAATGTTAATCAAACACGAAAGCGAACTCGGTCCGTTGAACCTATAGTCAGAATCCGAGCACGAGGGACGAGGCCAGGAAAGCTCCGACTGAACCGATAATCCCTGCTGCAGCAGCCATGGAAGACGACGCTCCATTGTTGGGCGACTCGTCTTCAGGAGACTGTGCAGGGGTGAGCTGAACTATCCCGGGAGGAGGTGACTGATCCATGGCAAGTGCAGGCGATGGTGACTGAGGAGATGGCGGGGAAGCAGCAGGTGCCGTCCCATTCTTGCTCCTGTCGGACAGAACAACCACGACGACCTTCTCGTTGTTCAGGCAGTTGTCTCTGTTCCCGCTGATGAAGTAGTGGGCGCCGGAGTGGTTGAAAGTGTAGAGGGTGTGGCCGTCGGAGTATGTCCTGACGGGTGAAGTCGTGGTGCAGTTGTCGTAGTCGCCCTTGCTCACTTCCAGCACGGAGTCGCGATCAGGGTTGTACATGAACACTGCACACAAATCGAATCGGCCAACGACGACGACGGAGCGATTTTCAGTTGCTTGGGGGAGAAGGAAACTTCGATGTAACCATAGAATAACAAGAGAGTGAAAAACAAACTTACAGATGGAGTCTCCAGTGGAGAACCGGTTGCGTTCTGCCCAAGAATTGTAGTTCAAGGCGGAGGAATTGTCAGGAACCGTCCAACCTTTGGCGCCACCGACGGTGAATTGGAATGCACTGGTTTGTTGGAGCGACAGCAGCATGAGACAGGAGAGTCCCAGCATGATTGCAACCGCCCTGTTTCGGCCGATTTTCGATCCCGGGTTCGTTCCTGCCATTGATGGCAAAGTGGTATGGTGTTATGTGTGTTTTGGTGTGGAGGTAAGTAGCACCAAGAAGGAGGATTTTGAGAATGGCATGGAGCTGAGATGGGGGTTTTGTAGGCTGAGTTTTGAGGCCAACTTTACAGTATCTGTGGCAGTGAAGCTTTTGCATGCTTTTAACGCTCTGTTCTCTCTTTAGCTATGGATTTCTTGACTTCTGGTGCAAAGCATATGTTCGTTCCTATTTGTTGTTTTGGATTACTTTTTTGTGCAGGAGATGACTTGGGCTGCAGGTTAATACTTTGCCCTTGACCATTTGTCAAGAACATTCGATCCTTGTGGTTTGAGCTAAACTGTTATTCAACAACCAATGAGAGCCTTCCCGCGCAATGTATTTGATACCCATCTCTTTACAGACAATCATAGACATGTACAATTTTTTTTAAACAAAAACTAACACCATTAGTCCACTACAATACCCGAATTATCAAAAAAAAAAAAAATCGCTTATGTCTTATTTTTCCCCAATATGACAATCCTACCTCATCGTATGATACCTTTGTATCGTTTGTATCCTGGCGCTTTTGTTGAGCTTTAGATTACTTCTACTCCTATGTAGATTGAATGAGAGCTCCAAACTACGACTATGACTACTTGTAAAGAAAAAAGATAAAAACTTGACGTAGGCGTTAGTTTTGCGAACCCATTGACTCATATCGAGGCTTGCATAGTACTTAAGTAATTTGAGTTTAAAAATCTAGTAACCATGAGTCCAACTTAAATAACACTAATTGTTATGATTGAGTTGTCATTATAAAACATTAAATATCTTGTAAATCATCAACGTGGTACAAGGTAATTTTTTTTTATGAAATGATACAAGGTAATTTTTAGGTGTAAAGAATCGGAAAAGTCAGCGGTATTGATATTTTATGTTGAAATCGCGATTTAACCCCGGTTCAAACGTTTCATACCACTAAAAATTGTCTATCGATATAGACTCAGTCAATGGCGGACTTAGGAATTTTACATAGGGGTGTCCTCTTCAAAAAATAAAGCAAAATAAAAATTATATAATTAATAAAAATTATATTATTCTTAAATAAGAAAATACCCAACTGGTACAAGTTAAAAAAAAGTCAATGATGTATTTTCATATTCTAAAAAAATTATCAAATACACTTGGTGTCTACACTGCTCAACAAATTTGTCTCGGTATATCCTACTAGACAATCATTCACGAACAGACGCATATTTGACTTATAAATTTGTTCATGATGTAATTCAAAGCTGAAAAAACACTTTCAACACTTGTCGTACAACCATAAAATCAATACAAATTAAGGGCAGCTTGTAATTAGATTAATTATTAGGTTTTGAAAATAATTAAAGATAAAGAATAGGGTTTTGCTATTACACAGTGTTTAGGATATATAACAACAAAATAGTTGTAGCCTAATGGAAATTATATTTATTAGTAATAGTAATGTCAGGGGTTTGAATTATCCAAACTATCACTTATATTCTCATATGCAAACTACAAACAAGAGTAGTATAACCATTCTTTCAAATTTAAAGGGTGTCCTGGACTATTAGTTGTAATTTTTTTGCCTATACGTAAATTATCACTGGGGGTTGGATAATCGATCTTCCAAAATTTAGGAGTGTCATAGAACACCCTTATATGCCCCTATATCCACCCATGGACTCAGTAAATAGATTTTTCTCATCGAACCGTCGGTACAATACAGTTTCACATGCATTGATTTATACAATACAAGTGCCAATTTTTTAACTTTCACAAATTTGAATACTTGACAACTTATAGAAATAGAAAGTGAAATAGAGGTCATATCCTCTACTTAAAGATGCAAAATTTTTGCATTGATCTCCCTAATCCTCCTCGTCTTCCCTCTCTCTGTTTCCCGCTAAACTTTGACCGCCAAGGCAAATACTGTAAACAGAACCCACGATCACCCGCCATCCTCGCTGGTTCAGAAAACACAAACAGAACAGACAAATGGCCAACCCACAGCCAGCCAATTTCTCCTGTAATCAACACATATTCCTTCCCAAAGGGTAACTAAAATTAAATTGAGAAACTTTTCAATAATTGAGAAAACAGAGTCACCTTGTTCTAAAAAAGAAATAGGATTTGAGGTAATTACTAATTAGTAATAGGCCGAGGAGAAATGAACGACAGCAACGATCAACTACCTAACGAAAAATAACCGGAAGAAAATAGAAAGAAAACAAAAACCGATCAGAAAAAGGTAGAAAAAGGGAGGGAGAAAAAAATAGGAAATTCCCGGTTGTTGGTTTTGGGTTTGTCGTTGTTCTCGCCCAGTCCGTCCATCTTCTAGCATTGAACTTGTCGTGGTCGTCTCTCCTCTTGTCTCCTTTTGATTCTGGCGGTGTTATTGTTTGCGGGAATTATGATGGGTTTTCTCTTCTGAATCATTTTTCTGTGCATTGGAAATTCCTAGCTCCATCTCCATCTCTTTGCTTGAAGTAGCTGTCTTAATAGCTTCTGCTTTGCTGGGTCTTTGATTCCTTCTTTCTTTTGATCCCTTTTTTTCCCTCTTCGTCAACTTTGCTGCCAAGGAGAAAAGCTCCTTCCTTTCCCCTTTTCCCCTCTTTCTTTACCTTCTTTTACTCCTACAGTTTCTTGGGTGTTTGTAAATGTGGAGCTCTGGAGAGCCCGCGGATTCTTACTACGAGGTCCGCCCGGAGTGTACGGATGTTCCTAAAACCCGCTTCAAAATCAAGGTCTGTTCTCTTCTTTCTTTCTTCACGTTCAAGATCGTTTCTTTTTTGTCAATTTGATCTCTGCATTGTTTGATCCCATATCCAGCAGATCCTTTTTCGTTAATTTTGGATCACTGTTCTGCAATTCGGTTGCAATGTGTCAGTTTTGGTATTACCTAAAGTACCCATTTTGCTCTTTTGCTTGGATATGTATGATCCGAAGAAATATCTGTTTATTTGGGCATTATGAGATCGAAGTTGAAAATGGCAGGGAGCCTTCTACCTGTGTAATTTGTTCAAGAATCGTCATGAATGAGCAATGGCAATACTATTGTAGAAAGTTCTCGGATCACATATGATGATTGGTTTATTGGTTCCCCACGCCACTTCTTTTCCTTGAGCGTTATCATTTATCTTTTGGTGATGGATTAATGATGTGCTCACCTTGATGTTCAATCTTTCTGCAGCCTGGTAAGACTCTGAGTGTCAGAAAATGGCAGGCTGCATTTACTCCAGAAGGCCACCTGGATATAAGCAAGACATTAGGTCGAATTCAACGTGGGGTAGGTGTATCTTTCCTTCAAAGGGAAGCTTATTAGTTGGTCCAGAATGTTAAGGGTTGGAGACTTAGAGTGGATTTGTTTTCTCTTGCTTGTTCAGGGGATTCATCCGTCAATTAGAGGAGAAGTTTGGGAATTTCTACTTGGTTGTTATGATCCTAAGAGTACATTTGAAGAACGAGATGAGATTCGACAGCGTAGAAGGTAACATCTTCTGATTATGTTTCAGGAGTTAGACATGGTGGAAATTTGACTGATGTAGGATATTAGAGACATCCTGTCTGCTGTGCTTGTATCTAAGGCGTCAAATACGTTTATGTTAATAACATTCATGTCATGGTTGACTGGAGATTTCCATCGTGCCACCTCGACAACTCTTGTTGAAAGCAAAGCTGCTCCAACTTTATTACTCTGCAATAAGATTACTTACATTTTGTTTATTTTTGGCTTTGACCTTCCCCTGGTGTTCTATGACATGCAAAGCTGCTAGCTTCCATTACCATATCGTTGCATCTATTTTCTTTTCACTTGAATGATGTGGCTAGCCATATTGGTTTTTTCAAAAGAAGTTCAAATTTTCCCTTCTGTGGACCTAAGGAGATACTTACTAGTCCACTTCTGCTACAATCTAGGGTTGAATATGCTAGCTGGAAGGAGGAATGTCGGGAAAAATTTCCAATCGTCGGCAGTGGCAAGTTTATTACAGCACCTGTAATCACCGAAGATGGTCAGTCTGTTCAGGAGCCATTGTATCTTTTAGAAGCAGGTAATAATGCTGCAGCTGAACCTCCTAAGGATAGGGATGCTGCTGAGACTGGTGAGACCGGTGAAACTGATGATACTGGTGAAGCTGGTGAAGAGGGTAAAGCTGGTGAAGCTGGTGAAGAGGGTGAAGCTGGTGAACCTGCCAGTACAGCTGTAGTCGGTGAAACTGTTGCTAACGGTGAAACTCAATCAAGTATAAATATTTCCAGTTGGCAAATGATGAAAGAGATTATCAGTCATGGCCCTCTGGATAAGAAAGTCATCCAGTGGATTCTTACCTTGCATCAAATAGGTCAGCTATTGTTGAATGAGTAATTTTTTCCTTTGTTCAAGTTTTACTCTGATTACCAGTCTTTGTTTATGAATGCAATGCTATTGTACTGTAATTCATGTGCAAAATAAAAATATGTAGTGCCTTAGATCTTTGGCCTTAACATTGCTGGTGCATTATTGGACTGGCAGTAGCCTGTGTTCATGCCTTAACCATTTTTGCTTATTCTTTCTTATGGGACTCGGCTGCCCGAATTAAGGGTATTGATGCCTTATTTCTTGGCTTGTTGTATAATGACTTAATAATACTATAGTCGTGTCCAATGTATCTCCACTTGCCCTTGAAAACAATGTGAACTTTACTTTGCTTGGTTCTTGTAGGTTTGGACGTGATTCGCACTGACCGAACATTGGTTTTTTATGAGAAGCAAGAGAATTTGTCAAAATTATGGGATATCCTAGCTGTCTATGCTTGGATTGACACAGATGTTGGATATTGTCAAGGTTTGTTAAAAATGTTATGAGTATTGCAGAACTGAATAGATCACATGGCAGATATTCTGCTTTACTTTTTATGTATGTTGTACTGATGCTGCATCTACTAATTCCAATAATAGCTTCCACATTCGTCGAAATGGACTCTAAAATGAATTATGCATCTGTTGTCTGAAATTGCACAATTGGCAAGTTAACGTGGACCCAGTTCAAACTATTCTTGGCACTTAAACAGTCATCTATCTTAACTCGGTTGTTCATAATTTTTTTTGGAGTTTTAAGCTCTGCTGAAATTTTTGTGTATGGACTTTTGTGATGTATATGATTTTTATTCGTTATCATATGCAATTAAGCCTTTCTCTCTGTGTCTGGAGGATAAGTGCTGCCAGGAAAGAGTTAGCTGGGCTTTTATCACGTCAAAAAGATATACATAGTTTTTAACGTCTAAAGCTCAATTTCCTGGTACTACTGGCAGGAATGAGTGATCTTTGCTCCCCCATGATAATTCTTCTTGATGACGAAGCTGATGCATTTTGGTGCTTTGAACGTCTGATGAGAAGATTGGTACCTTCCTTTTCTTTTGCTTTTATTGATACTGTTCAGTTCTTTTGATGTAAAATGTCATCTACTACTTGTTTAATTTCTTGCTCATTTGACTGCTCCTGTTGTGCGAACGCTTTTTTGTCCAATGACTAGAAAAGTGTCTTGTTGTGGCTTTGAGTGACACTCTAGCTCCTGGCTTTGTTAGAAGTTTTGTACAAAAATTTCCACTTATCCATATTGCTAGCCTAGTTTTGCGTCAGTTTTTTCAGGCCTTTGTTTTCTGTAAGACACATGCTTCATTTCAATGCCCTTGTGCCTTAAACGTCAAGTGGTTACTTGAAGACTTTTCTTCCAGCTTCACTAAAATGTTAATATCCAGTATCAACCTTCTAATGATTTGTTATTGCTCGAATTTCAAAAGCGAGGAAATTTCAGATGCACAGAGAGCTCTGTTGGTGTGGAGTCGCAACTCAGTAATCTGGCAGCGATTACTCAAGTTATTGATCCAAAACTTCATCAGCACTTAGGTGTGTGTTTTGACTTTTCTTCTCATTATGTGCATCACATCATCATAATCACGCCATAACATCACGCTGTTTCAAGTATTATTAAAACTCCATAGTCCATAACAGTGGCATAAAACTACTGGTGTGTTATTTACAAAACTTTAAACAGAAAGAACAGGACAAAAGAATTTATGTCTTTATTATTTCAGTCTTTGATCAAGTGATTACAGAAATAACATACCTTTCTTTCGACATTGCAAAACAGAAGCTCTTGGTGGAGGTGACTATTTATTTGCTTTCCGCATGCTTATGGTTCTATTTCGGCGAGAGTTCTCTTTCTGTGACTCACTATACCTATGGGAGGTATGTCTCTGAGCATGTCAATATGCAACTTCCTTCTTGCAATGTTCAACCCTGAGTATTGCCTTAATCTTTGCTTTGAACTTACCTTCTTGCATTTTGTATTTATCAGCACATAAGTTTCCTTTTACGTTTTTCAAATCATTTTCCCGTGTGGATTCACAGATGCCTTCGCCTACCATTGACAAAACCCCTTCCAGTTACTGACATTGTTTCTTTCTTCCTGCAGATGATGTGGGCTCTTGAATATGACCCCGACTTGTTCGAGTTGTATGAAGAGCCTGAAGCAGCGGAGGGATCCAAAGGAAGAACAAAGTCTATACGTCACTATGGGAAGTATGAGAGGGAGAACATGAAAAGTGGTTCAGCAGAGGAAGCTCCCCTTCCCATCTCTGTTTTCCTCGTTGCAAGTGTCTTGAAAGATAAAAGTGCAAAGCTACTACAAGAAGCCCGAGGCCTGGATGATGTTGTCAAGGTTAACTTCCTAAAGCTAACTTCTGCTATGCCAACGTATATTCTAGATTACAACTTTGTAGCTGACAGGAAAACTCATATAAGTTATGCTCAAATACTGAAATATTTGTGTTGAAAAGAAAGTAACAAATAGCCAAAACCGGTTCATCCTTGCTCGTTCACGATGACTTCCAGGATTCTAGTTCTTAAGACATAAGACTGATAATCCACGTGTAGGGTACTTTTATTATGAGAATCTGTTAGGTGCACTTAGTTCTTAAGAGCATTGGTTCTATGAAATCATTGTTTGGTCTTCAACTTCCTACCTCCGTTATTCTTGGCTTTCGAGAAACCTTCACCTCAAATTTATCACCTTCTGTCTTCCTTTTGTTTTTGCCTATCTGATGTTCCCTCTTTCTTTTTTGTCCTTTCTGTGATACCATTCAGATATTGAACGACATCACTGGTAATTTAGACGCCAAGAAGGCCTGCACTGGTGCAATGAAACTTCACAAGAAATATTTGAAAAAGGTATATTCTAGCCCCCAATGAATATTTTGCTACCGATATCGTGCAATGTGAATCAGCATGTCTGCACTTTTCATTGTGATGTTGAGTCCTTCCCAGCATATCTTGCCATAGAGCTAAATCTCTCATCAACAAGTTAGAGGATAGTAAATCCTCTTCTTTTCCTGGTCACAAGTTTGATAAAGCCATAATGCTTTTGATAAACCCACGAGCCTTTTCCCGAAATCTTAATGAACATTCTGGAATCCCATGATTAAAAGAGTAAATGCACCCAAATCGTATATTCTGCTGGTACAGTGTTTTGTGCAGTATAAATACAAGGATGCTTTCTGTAAAGTTCATCAATTCATTCCTCGGTTCACTTTTTTTTCATGGTTACTGGAGTGTGTATTGTTGCCGTTTTCACCTGAACATTTTCTCATGTTTGCTGCTATCAACCTTCTGCATTATATTCAGATTGAGTTTAAGGGTGGTCATCACACTGTGCAGAGCTCATTGAATTTTGTTTCTTTCTGCAGGCCAAGAAGTAGCCATAGATGAGGGGAACCTAGTGTTCATATGACACCCCCCCTTCCTGGACTGTGTAATGTGCCATGAATTTACCATGGTTAAAACCAATGTACCTTTCCACTTTGCGGCAGCAGAAAAGGGAGTGGCGTTTAACTCGAGAACTACTCCGCGCAGCCAGGGGATTTCCAGTTTCTGTAAAAGAAGAGGCAAGGATTGTAGTTGCTGCTGCTGCTGCTGTTGTAATTAAAACTAATTTTTTGTCAAATTTTGTGTAATCTATATTACTGTGTAACCTAAAGGAACCCACCAGAAAGAAAAGAACAAAAATACAAGAAACAAAGAGGGTAGCATTCTTTGGATGACAATTCATACAAAGGGGAAAAGGAAAAGATCATTCTTTGGATGATAACTGTAAAAAGATTCAATTATAAAACTGTAAGTTCATATTACTATCATTTGAAGCATCTTAATTTCACTTTAGTAGTAGCATTCTGACTAAAATACAAAAGGGTAAAAATTCTGACTAAAATACAAAAGGGTAAAATTATAGGGGCATTCCGAGAATTGAACTCGGGACCTCTCGCACCCTAAGCGAGAATCATACCACTAGACCAAATGCCCTGCTGTTGGATTGTATTTTTGTTTTTCAAATCATTATCCTAAACTCTTCCCAACCTCTCCTGCATTTTTCATGCTAATCGTCGGTTGCCTGGAAATGAGAAGTACATGACAGCAAAATTGACGTTAACTTTCACTTCTCCTCGACCCCTTGCATCCCTTCTTCAACGTAGTTTGACGAAGAGACTTAGAGAGAGGGCCTGAGTTCCTGTGCTTAAGCCCAAAAGCTTAAGAAGATGCTTAAACTTCTTCTATTGGCTGATAGGATTTTAGGTAATTAATAATTAGTTTATGGTTAATAGTAGTTATTTGTAAGTTAAGGGCAATTAGGAGATTTTAATAATTTAAAAACTTAACTTAAATAGGAGGTTTTAGGTTTATTTTCTGCCTGTTCGTTTCTCCCTCCCTCAAACTCTCTCTTCTTTTCAACGGATTATATTCTCCCTACCTCCTTCAAGCTTCCGACGGCTGCTGGCCGGCCCATTCGTTTCCAGCCACATCTATAGCCTACTCTTCACTGTCGACGAGTACATGATTGTCTCGCGACTGTGGTTGCTGCCGGGACACTACTCTGCATGTTGGTACAACTACCGTCGACGTCCACTAGCTACCGCCGGCAACCAACCCCCGATTTCTTTGCGTCGTCGTCGTTCAGTTTGGCGATGAACTCATCGTCCTTAGTATCGTCGATTTCTATTGTCTTAGCATATACGTTGCTTTTGGTCATCGTCCGTCCAACTAGCGTCTACGATCAGTCCCTGGTTTTCTTTGTGTTGTCGTTGTCCAGTTTGGCGGTGTGTCCACGATTTTCTTTGTGTTGTCAATCGATTGCTTTTGTATTATTCATGCATTTGCGTGTTTAGGGTTTCAAATTTTGGATTTGCATAGCATGATTGGTAACTTGCTTTCGTTGAATTATTAATAAATCGTTTGATAATTGTTAATTTTATTGCATGCTTTATTCGTTGCATAATTAGAGATTCAAAATCCGGATCTGACAACATTAGTAACGCTCTTTCGTGGAACTATCAATAAATCTTAGGGTAGTTTTTAATTTTTATGGCTTTATACATCATCATCTAATTTTGTTCTTCGAATTAGTAATAAAACCGATGGTTATTATTACCGAGGTATGCTATCGTTATCAACAGTTTGCAATACAAATTGTTTTTAATGACACCATGAACATTTTAAGTGGATTGTGTTAACAAAAAAAAAAATCTAAGTTTTAACGATTTTTAATGTCATTATAAATATTTGACATATAATGTATTAGTAATATCTAGAAAGTATAATGACCTTTAATTGTGATCATTATCAAAGTTATTGGTTGCTGTATCAACAAAATACATGATAGTTATTCATGGCATCATCGTTATCAAGGTTTTCGAAGGGAGTTATCAATAAATTGGTGTAACATTAATAACAATTAGTTCTGATCATTATCAATGAATTTTAGTTGCATTTTAAGTGAAACACAAGCTATAAATAATTTTTATATCGTTATCTACATTTTGAGAAGATAGTTATTGGTAACATGTACCATGGGTATTACCCATTTAGATGCAAACATTATCAATAATTTTGCTTGTACTTTCAATGCCGACGGTTTACATATGAATGATAAATAGTGTCATTACAACGTTTCAATGCAAACTCTTATAATATTAAAATATTGATAAATATGTTGAAATCGTTAATAATGATAAGATATATTTTAACAATTTACGTCACAATATAAACTTTCAAAATGTAGAATACTTATTAATGTTTTCATATAACATGTTTTCTCCCATTCATTAACAATATCTCATCCATTATCAACTTTTCAAATTTTTAAACGTACATCTTAATTTCAGGCCTCAACTACTATCAATAATAGCAAGAATCATTATTAGCTTTATCACATCTTCAAGCCAAATTTATTAATGTATTGAGAAAGCATATTATCAATTTTGTTACCGTTATCTACGCTTATGAAAGAATTATCAATGTTATGCACCATCATTATTCACGTTTTGAAAGTTATTATCAATTTTTAATATGAAATTGTTAAGATTTGGAATAAGATTGTCAATGAATTACCATATCACAGCGTCAATGAATAATTATATTATCAAATTATTATATTTTACATTTACTATTAACGTCACCCCAATGTATTATCAATGTTTTTGAATTAAGTTTTATTCATTTATTATATCGTTATCAACGCCGAGGCATTATATTATTAATGATATCACTATTATTGTTTTTAAATAATATTCAATGTTTTATGATATCATTATTAATGATTTTCCATCATTTTTTAATGATTATTAACCTCGCAGTAAGCTTCCTCGTCGACGGTGAAGTGCAAACTCAGCCGACGAGATTGAAGCGTGAGTGAGATGACTTTCCATGGCGATGGAGAGTGCGGTGGCAGCCTGGCAGGGGCAAAATTAAGCGAGACGACGTCAAATTGGCGGAAAAGATGAAAAAAACTAATGGCTGGCTTGGGTTCGGGATTGCGACTGAGTTGGATTGGGACGGCGGCTGCTGCAATGAAGCTCCCGTCGATCTCAGAGGGATGATGGAGGCTCGTATGGCGAGATGGCGCTACTGTCGTAGAGTTCTTTCTCAACGGTGGCGTCTCCTAGAATATTTCGCAAGGAGAGAGAGGGGTTGAGCGGTTGCCGGCGAGAAATCGATGTTGGTCACTTTTGGATTAGAGTTACGGTGAAAATGGATTAGGTTTTTAAATCTTATTTTTTTATTAACTAATAATATTAATTATATTTTGATAATACCTTATTTACCCTTAATAACTTATTAACCACTTACCTTCCTTTAACTAACTAAATTCCTATTGACCAATAGGAGAGCTTTAAGCATATGCTTAAACTTATAGGCTTAAGCACAGGATCTGACCCGTAGAGAGAGGAAACAGAAAGCAAAACTCCAAATTCAAGCTCGCGAGACAACAACGACAATCCATTTTTTGTTAGTCAAAGAGTCTGTAATAGTTGAGACTTTATTCTAAAGACTTCAAAAGTAGAATACTTATTTATTTGTAATTGATCATGTATAAATCTCCTCTTTCTAATTAAATGAAGTATACGAATAACAAATCAGAATAGTTTTTTCCCCCTCTTATTCTTTGTTCTCCCCCTCTCTTCTGCCCTATTCTTCTTCTCCTTTATGTCTTCTTCGTTCAGCTTCTGTCTCAATTCTTCCTCCAATCCTCCCAGTTTCTCATTTCCTTTCAATAAAATTCTCAATTGCTACTCTTAAATCGCCAGAATTGATTCAATCTTCCTCTAGTACGTTACAAGGTGATTTTGTGAGAAACATAGCACCATCGTTTTACACAAGATAGGTTATGATTCTCCCCCGATGTTGCTGAGCTATGTCATGATTCTCAGATGTGTCACTTCAAAAGCCTATAGGAAGAATTGAGAAAGTAGCAGGAGGAGGAAGACAGATAGGAGGAGAAGAACAGGGAAGGGGAAGAACAGAGAAGAGGGGGGAAATTATTATAATTTGTTATGCATATCCGAAAAATTCTCTAGCGGTCCGGAAGTACCATGTAGGAGAGAAATTCTTAGGTGCTCCGGGAGCACCACGTTGGAATGCTGATATGGTGCTCCCGGCCAATGAAATTGTGCCACGTGGCCTTAATTATTAAATTAAAATGGTAGCTTATGTTTCTGTGAGTGATTTACGGTGGATTATTTTCTTTCTCCTTTAATCATCCATGGATTTCTCCAAGTCGAATGACTACCATCAATCTACCAGTGCACCTCCCCCCATCTCTATGAAATTGGAAAAAGGAAAGAACTCGTTGGAAAAAGTAGGTGCATTCGGCCCTTTTAACTGAATAGCCACACTCTTTTCTTTTTTATTTCTCTACAATAGGTCCTCCTACCTTGTACGGCATAAATAAAGGATGTACGCCTTTGTTCATACCCGGATGCCAGATTGAAATCCAATCCAAAGAGAAGAGATAAAAACCACGAGCTGAACACTTCATCCCCTCCCATAAAGAGGGTTTTTTTCTTCTCATTCGAGATATTATGTGCAATTAATGTTTCTGAATCTAATAAGTTAAAGTAAAGTCAAAGTGTTAGTTGGTCGTTCCAAAATAGAAAATGGATTCGATACAATTTTTGTTACTATTTTTTTTTTTAAGAGTTGTCATATCTCGGTAATGGGGTCTGTTGATTTGGAATCACGCTCTGTAGGATTTGAACCTACGACATCGGGTTTTGGAGACCCACGTTCTACCGAACTGAACTAAGAGCGTTTTCTTATCACAGTAGATATGACTGTAAAGAAAAAAGGATGATTTTTGTACCCCCAATACATCTTGCTTGCATGCATATAGTATCATTAAATTCAATATTTTGTATGTCCAATTTGAATCGATCTTAATGGATTCCTCGTTACTGCCCAGAGGAGAAGTAATAGGTAGGGATGACAGGACAGGATTGGAACCCGTGACATTTTTTACCCAAAACAAGGGCGCTACCAAGCTGCGCTACATCCCCTTCAATTGGTCGACGGTGTCATTGTAGAGAATCCCTGCCCTGTTTTCCACATGGTTTTTTCCTCTATCGATATCGTCTTTCTCTTGCCATTTCTTCTTTTTGGTCTTTATTGCTCATCATCATCCTGCCGCTCTCTACCAACGCTTACTTATGAGCAAAAAGGGTTCTACATAATCAGCCCTTTGAATAAGCGAGGCTTTCCCGATAGAAATAGTTGCATGCGAGAGAGATCCCAATTCCATGTATGCGGTTAAGCAAGCCATGCCGCCGGCTTCCACCCAGGCAAAAAACGTGAGCGCCTAGCGCGAAAGGTTGCTTTATTTACTAAAAAATAGAAGGGGCTAACGCGCTTTAGTCTTCAATAAGGGGCGGCGCTTGAAGAAGCGAAGCGAGCCTAGAGTAGCAGCCTATTACGTTTTTCAGGCCCCTTTTCTATTCTATTAGTAAAGCGCTAGCGCCCCTATAGAGTAAGGCTCTTCTGCTATCAATGAAATCGAAAGAAAGAAAAAAGCCCAGTGCGTTTTATATAGATCGAGACTTGTAGCTTGATTCTTTACTCATTCCATACTGGGAAGAATTGCAGGAAATCGTTCGATAACACTTCTTCCTATTTCTCAATGATATCGGCAATTCCCGTGAAACTCTTTCATTTCATAGAAGTTAATTCTTATTCTTACAAAGCAAATAGCATTTCCTATTGATTTGTCCCCTGGACTGGACCTAAAATGATTCAGAATTAACCATCGCTACGCTGTTCCCAAGGACTAGCAAAATCGAAATAGCGAAATTCTTGGGTCATCTCAATGGGTTCAGAAACTACACGTTTCTCTGGATCATCATAGCGTACTTCCACATATCCACTCAGAGGAAGGTCTTTTCGTAATGGATGACCCTCGAAACCATAATCTGTTGATATACGGCGTAGATCCGGATGATTGATGGAAGAAACACCAAACATATCCCAAACTTCTCGCTCCCACCGACCGGCTGATGGAAATAGACTGACTACCGGAGATATTCGTGTTACTTCGTCTGCACTGATTTGTACACGAATGCGTGAGTTATATCGAGTACTCAGTAAATTATAGATCACTTCAAATCTTCGTTTTCGAGAGGGATAATCAACTCCGCAAATATCGATCGAAACTTGAACCCTTGTATAAGTATGCAATTTAAGAAAGCACAACAATTGAAATAGGTAATCCGAATTGGTATCCAATCGATTCCCATGTTCCGATCTTTCCATTTTTTTTACCCATTTCTTGGGGAGAGTCTCCCAACTATATTTAAAAATGAATTGGTTATCCATAAAGAAAGCTTTCTTCTAGTTCCGCTTCTTGCTCTAAAAATGAAGAAAGACTTGTCCGAAATCGCCGGTTGGTAAAACCAACCAAGAAAGACATGGGAGTGGATCTTCTATTTCTATACGATATTACCAATACTGCCTACCAGACTCGATGATATTTCCATCCGACGTAGAGCAAAGGGGAACCGAACCCTGCAATGATTATAAGAGCCCAAGCGAGTCTTCCTTAGTTTACTGGAAGTGCTTTAAGGTTAACTATAAGATAAAGCACAGAATTAGGGCAAGTTTAGCAGCTTAACCGGTGAAACCAGGAACTCATTTATACCCCACTGGTATAAAAAGGAATAGAAGAAGCTCTTACTGCTTGAGAAGTAGCTGATATAGCTAATGTAGCTATTTTTTAAAGATGCTATTGCTGCTACTGTTGCTCTAGTAGTTTCTGTACCCGTAGTAGTTGCTCTAGAAGCTGAGGAAGTTCCAACTGTTAATGTAGTTCTTATTACACCCGGGCACGACTACTGCTTTAGTAAGGCAGTAGTATGGATAGGGTCTTATGGAGGATGTGAGGATTATGACAATTTGATTTTATCGCTTGACTCGGACTCAATCACTCTTTTTGGACTGCCTTTTTTTTTTAATCCTTCACGCAAGCAAGACGATGAAGCTTTTCTGTCTATGAGATGCTGTCTTGACTAATTCTCTTTTTCTATCTGACTCACTTGCATCTATCTGACTCACTCGCCAACATGCTCCGTGGACTCCACTCGCCGACATACTCGCCCTATATTATAAAGGACTGCGCTCGTTAACATACTCGCCAACATCTAACTCGCTACATACTTTCACTCGCTCCTTCTTACTCTTCTTACTCCAAAGGCACATGCTCTTGTACATCTGTTACCTTTTATTTAAAAGGGAAGAAACCTAACTACTTATAAGCCAACAAGTAACAAGTACTGCTCCTTAACCCAGGAAAACAAGTAAATCAGCTCCTGCCTACTGAGATTCCTTCTGCTACTGAGACTCATGATGCTACTGTTCCTAAACCAGGTAACCCTGCTGCTTCTTACGTTACGCAGCCCAATCGGAAATTGGAAGCTCGTTCAATGAAGCCTAATCCGTTTCTGATCCAGAGTCGACTGACTGTCTGTCTTTTGCCTGCCTGCTCGCTCGATCCGTCGGACAATAAAGCTTAGCAGCTAAAGTCGTATCTTAGTGAAACGATGTGTGCTTATAAGAATGAAGGCGCGGCTGTTTACCCGTATTTTAGCTTATGATCTGCCATCTAAATTTCACTTTTTAAAAAAGCTGATCGTTTTCAATCCTGTCACTAGGTCTGTCTACCCTAACCGAGCCGGATTTCAAGAACCTCTCTCATTTGAACGGGAGGCTGGTACCTATCATAGGAACCTATGCCCAGGCACTGCAGTAGAGAATACTCTCTCGTTTCACTCTATCGTTACACTAGAGCTTTATAATTACAATTCAACTCCCGAACTCTTTACTTTCTGAAAGCTCTTTCTTGGGCTTAAGTCACACCCTAAGACTATAAGATCGGAGCTGCGCTTGGTAGTTGGCACGGGAGGGACGTGCCATGTTCTTCATCCTGGTCCTAAGGCAAGGGAATAAGAAAGATTTTCAAGTGGTCTAGCCAGCACACTCGCTTCATCAACAGCCGGCTCGCTTGTTCGTTCATAACAGGACTGCTCATTTACCTGATTAAAGGGGAAGATTGGTACAGTAGTTGGCCAACATGACATTCGGGCTCATGCTTTTTGTTGTCGTGTCGGTCCTGGGGCAGGTTGTTTACACCTTGGAAAAGAAGCAATGCCGGTATCGAGGGGAGGTAACCTTCTTATTGCAGGGTTTACACCCCTAAGTAACATAGCACTAAGGGGAGGAGAGTACGATATGAGACGAAGAGAGGTAACCCGAGAAGGGGTTTACACCTCAGCCGGAGGAGGAGAAGGAGCGCTGGTCGCTGGTGGCTTTGAGTTTAATGAGTCAGGTGCAGTGGAATGAATCTCAGTAGACGAGCTCCCCCGCAAACGGGGACTGGCCAAGAGACCTCACAAACCGCATTGCATCTCCTTACTGAGGCAGTAGAATCTTTGTCAGTATGGTACGTCCCTCCTGTTCCACTGGAATAGAGACCTACCACTGCCCGGGCAAGAGACGACAACAAAGGAGCGAGCTCTGTTCGGAAGCACATGCGCATGACTGTTCGAATGTCAGGTGAATACTAGCACGTGTAACAAGTCTTCTTTTCAAGTGTATCAAACCTCTTTTCTCCTGTTGAATAGTACTCCTTTTATTTCAGAATGTATTGAAGGATGGGTTACTTACTACACTACGCTTGCCCACACTTGCTTTTACTTTTATATGTTTTATATCATCTTATATGAAACTAAAGATCTAATAAGAAACCAAAGGGATAGGTCTTAGCAACGTAGTTTAATAAGATATAAAAGATGGATTTCACTCCCGCTTTAAAAGGGATGCTACCCCACTGACTTAATAGGGTTCTTAGTCGACTAGCCTTCGGTAGATGCGACGAAGCTTTATTCTTAATCGATTAGTAATCCCTTTTCATAAGACTTTACTTCTTCTCTAACTAAAAGGGATGCTGCGCTTTCGACTGACTTTATTAATGATCTTTTCTTAACTTGAATAAAATAAAGAGAGACTGCAAACTGGCATTAAGTGAAGGGGAATGCTAGGCGTGAGGATAATATCACTAGGATCAAGGTTGGTAGAGCTTTGCTTTCAAATTAGAACTCTCCCCCTCTCCTTTCAGTCGAGCAACTTCGCACCTATCTCACTTCAACTTCGTCTTCATCTGGAACTGCCTCCGGTAATGCGTCAACATGTTCTTGTCAGGAGGAAATACGTCATCTGGATCAGATTCATCTTCCTCAGCACACGATTCCCCGGAAAAGTCTTCCTATGAGGTTGGCGCGAAAGACCAGCCACCAGTATTTGATACGGTACCAAAGCCTTGCCTATAAGATAAGGGTCTTCAGACGCGGTATATGAGAAATTCAAATTAGAATCACAAAATGAGATTCATCTACAAGGAAAAGCTTTTGTCAACCTGATGATGAAGCTCAGTCGATGATCGAGCTCTTTCTGATCATGGAAAGAAAGGTCTAATTCTATAAAAGAAAGATATATCCAGGGCTGCGCGCCTCCGTCTAAGAACTAAGAATAAGAACCTTACCACTGAAATTACAACCTAACCTTGGAACAAGCTTGGCTTTGAGAAGGTTGCCTTTGCCTTTGCAAGAATGGATTGGTCTAAGAGATCCTACATAACCGCTGCCAGGAGTTAGCACGAATCAACTGTGGGGACTTGCCTAAACTGGATTGAATCAATAGAATATTCAACATATGGCACTGCCTCAAAGGCCTTACCATACCACTTAGCTCAAGCCAGTCTAAGTGATTGGCTGAATACCGAGAATAGAGTCTCCTCTTGGGGTTTCTTATGACTACTAAGGGGTGGGGTACTAGTAAAGCCAACTAGTCAAACCATCAGTAGACCCATAATATCCAGTAGAAGCAGTAGATTCAGTTGATCGAGATGAACCAGCACCACAAATGGCGAAGTGAGCAGCACCCATAGCGTAAGATAAAGACCGATAAGCAAGCAGCAGGACAATCCACCAGTCGCAGATCCAGTGGAAAGAGCACTAGGACCAGTAGCTAACATGCAGGTGATGTTTCGACAAATACCTCCTTCCACCGCTGTGCCCAAATCTTTCCAAGGACTGACTCGAACTAGAGTTGGGGCTTTCGTAGCAAATATGACCTAAAGTGGTCCATTCGTCGGGTGGAGAAAGCGTAGCTTGTACTAACATTTTATGTGCCGGACAGCTTTCATGTGGTACCTACCAGTTAAGATCACTCAACCGCAAATCCCTCTTCTTAATATGATTTAAAACTGATGCGTGAAAGCGATGTTTCATCGTGTGATCTGTCTTTGCAAAAGCAGAAATCGCAGTTCAAAGGATCGCCTTCTATAAAAAAGGGCCAAGAAGGCTGCTAGCCCTAAAATCTATACAGAAGAGTCTAAGTGTCCTTCAATATCCGTTAGTACTTCTCCAAGACATTCTGCTTCAAAAGTACAATTGTTCTCAGTGGGCGTTCCTTTTAAGAAAAATGTTGAGTTGGCATCTCTATAAGGGTCCGACATGGTCTAGCGTGGACTCCCCTTAACGTTTTGATACGCCTCTATGAGAATAAGAGGCTTCCCTCGCCCAACTCCTATAAATTTTTTTGATTGCTGAGGAATTCTATCTAGTAAGTGCGCCTTCTGGAGGGTAAATACCCCCTTAATTGCTAATTAAAATGGCTACCCTTCGTGTTGAAAGGAATTCAACTGCTGACATAAGGAAGAGGTCCCATCGTTACCCGCAATCTGCATACTTCCTTAGGATATGTCGCTCCCACCCTATCCCCGGATTCTACCCTCAAGCCGAGTCCTCTGACTGCCCAAATATGTACGCAAACTAAAGGAATATTCCGGGCTATCTTCGAATGTTTCCGCGCATTAACTATAACTATGCAAATATTCTTTTTTTACTAAAGGTATTATCGACGATTCCTGCCCTACTGAAAGGAAGGGGATTCCTCTGCCCAATTACCCGACTTGGGACCACTGCACTCTTCCGTCTGCGAACAAACTCACCTCTTAAACTGCGCCCGTTCCTAACGTTTAGGGTTCTACTGGTATTATAGGTCTACTTGTGGGCAATAAGAGGAAGGGATAAAACATGCTCCCTGGCGTAGCATGAAAGCCAACGCAATACCTCATAACAAGATGTCCTTTTAAGGGTCAGCAAGCGTACTTTACTTTACTGATGTACCCCCCTACCTAAAAAGGGCAAAGACTTGCTCAAGAAAGTACTCGTCAAAACGGCAACCCGACCCTTTGAACTAGCATTTGAGCAGGAGATTGCGGGGTTATTTGCCTTCCAAAATTGAGTATTTGCGGGATGGGA